GGGGAGGCCACGAGGCGATTGTGAAGCTGCTGCTTGACGAGGGCGCCGAGAAAGTACGGCAACGCGCTCCAGGCGGCTTCATATGGAGGACACACAGAGTTACTTGACACATTAATCACAAATGGTGCCACCTTGAAGGTCCAAGATTACTATGGACGGACACTGCTTTGGTGGGCTGCAGCTGGCGGCAAGATCGCCACTGTAAAATCACTTATCATGAACCACAACATCGACCCCAGAATAGCTGACAATCTTGGGCGAAAGCCTTCCTGGATAGCAGCGAAGAAAGGACATGGCGCAGTATCGAAGCTTCTCCAAGAGCATGATGGAGAAACCAGCACTGAGCCGACAGTGCTATCCAACGAGAATCACCACCAATCCGCTCTAGAATGCAATGTCTGCACCTCACAAATTCCAACCACTGTCTTCCATTACCATTGTAATCTCTGCGCTGGTGGAGATTGGGATGTATGCGAGGACTGTAGGAAGTGTGGAGCCACTTGCGTGGCACCGGCTCACACTCTGCGTAAACGGGAGATGCTTGACGGAGTCTGGTCAGAGATCACGCGTGATCATGACTCATGAAAAATTGTGGCAGTCGCATAGAATCTGTATGTGCAGGTAAGGCAGACTGGATATAAGTATCTTGCTTATATACTGGCTGCAGCTGCGTTTGGTCCTTATGTCCTTACTACTAATTAATTAAATAAATTGCGATTGAATATTGGCGACCATCAGGGAGCGTAGAGATAAGGTCATTACTTTGTTCCAATCAAGCAGCATATGTGTGATGCACACCTGCAGGCAGAGCTTACGCTAGCGCTCGACTGGCTGGGACAATGGAGGCGGACGTTGTGGAGGGTAAGCTTGAGCAAAAGGCCAACAACACCTCACACTCACCTTCCTTAACTCGACTTCTAAGAATAGCCGGCACGCGCGGTGCACGTGAGGAGAAGCTTCGAGAAGCATGCGCCACAGTTCCCCCGGTTCCGGCATAGTGTGGGTGTACAAGGTAGGCCGCTTAGTGTAATGAAAACCGATTTCTCAGCAAGGACTTCTCACTTAATTGCAGGGGCCTACACATGCCCCTACGGATGAATCCGGAGTAGGTGTTGTCGAACGCTTCTTATGTTCAAAATTTTAAGAGAACTTTCCAATAGGCTAATGTCACGGTAACCTTAGAGGCTACCTGACAAGCATGGATATACTGCTGGCAGTAGTATATCTTAGAGATATCGCGCGCTGGCAGCCAGTCAACAGATTATTAGATGGGTGGCCCGTCTGCTAGCTGATTGGTCAAAGCATGGCGCTAGCCACCCTTGGCGAGGGCGTGCGACGAAGCGAGAAGATAGATCTACGCTGGATAGGGGAGAGGACCTTTTCTCCTTATCCAACGTCTTGTACCTACACGTAGATACCGAACGCAGTATATTGATCTAGCCTACCTGGGCCTCAGACATCTTGCTCGTTGCTCTCGTGACAGCGGTGGGTTGTTCTAACCTCAGGGAGGGAGGTTACCTCAGCTTCCAGTAAACACAATTTCATATAAACGATAACGTGCTTTACAAGCGAGTGACGCGTACAAGCGAGTGACGCGTACAAGCGAGTGACGCACCCCACCAACTTTACGTACCTCTTCACGCGTATATCTCAACCACCTTATAAGATAATATATAAATATTAATAGAGTAGATTAAGCAGTATCTAAAGTATCTTTCTTGCACGTAACGTTAGCTGTTACGGCAACCGCGCCGCAAGTGAATTACTATAATGACAGTGTCAGTAGCGATGACCAATGGGAAGGTAATTACGATTACGGGTCAGATGCTGAGCATAACGTGGCCACGTGACGAAGTCACGTGATTCGGTCTGTGGCTCTGTCGCGACAGATCCACAGAGCCACACAAGATAGCAGTATATAGAGGTGATGGATTACCACGGTAAGCCATCATTTTCAATCCACGATACAGTTTACTGCATCCAGTTTCCTCACGGAAGATTACTTGTGACGTTTTGGCAACAGACCTTCACCGTAGTGATTGATTGACGCATCAACTCAACGCGATTACACCACGCCGTAGCCCTCACTACTCAACATACCCCCTTTCGAGGCCAGCTTAGCTCACGCCAAGCGATTCCCGTTACATTAGCTTTTCGCATGGCCAATCCATCTCTTGCGCTCCGCTTGCTCTTGCTGCGTGACCGGCACAATCTTATACCCTCTCCACAGGCCGCAGCTTCGCCATCAGCGGCGGCTTCTCCCACACCGCATACGACCGCTGATCAGACCACCCCCCGCTCTCAGGCATGAGCGTGACATCAAACTCAAATAGCAGGCGCGCCATGATCAAGCGCGTCTCCACCAGCGCGAGGCTACAATCTTGTCAGCACAACGTTCTTCCCCGCCGCGTCTTCGTGCAAAAACTTACTGCCACGAGCCGGCTTTACACACACGGGGCCTTCCCTATGAACTACGTAGCACCCGACATCGTTGTCGCCGTCGTCTCGCTACCCGCGCCGATCAACAGCGGGGCGTTGAGCTCAAGGTCTTCGCGATCAAGCACGCCTTTTTCCTCGGCGGTGGGCCACTCGTTGAGGATGCCGGTGTAGTCCAGCTGCTGCTGGCAGCGGCGCACGAGTGTCTCCGTGGATAGCTCGAAGTGTAGGAGGTCCTTGCTGAGTGGGAGAAGGCGCATCAGCGCAGGTACAATGGCTGGGCTGAGGTGTAAGCCTAGACGCTGCGGACTTTCCGTACACATGCACGGATTGCGGTGCATCCTTCTTTGCCTCGACGAATGAACATCTTTGAATGGTGCAGATCCTGGCGGTCGACCTATATGCGCGACGCGACGTAGAGTCAGTGCTACAGCATTGCGTTTGTGAACGACGATATCAGGAGGAGAGCACGCCCCGAATCGTCCGACCGTCCGATGCTCCACGCAGCATACGCCGGACCTCGGGGTAGATTGGAGAAGACTGCGGACACCATCTGCTCTTGGGGAACAGAACATGTGAACTCAGACACTGCACCGCAACCCTCTCTAGGCATGCCTCAACACCAAACCAGGGTGGCCAGGAGACAAAGCTAGACACAGAAGACGAAAAACAGCGGGTATGTAATTAACAAGCTATAACCCCTCAATCCATCACTCATCACCTCCAATCCAAATCCATACACAAGAAAGGCACCCCATCCATCCATCCATAAAGCCACCCCTCATGCGTACGCACATACATTACAATGGACCGGAGATCCCGTTCCGCCCACGGGGGCCATGGGAACATGCATTATCTATCTCATCCCGCGCACTAAGTAACATCGAATCGAAGGAGGTATTTGGGGGTATGGTGCAGGTAACGCGGCAAATCGAGGCACAAAGCAAGTACAAAACAAAAGAGAAGAAATAAAAGTAAACCACCTACTGCCGTGAGGCCGCGTCCTATATGCAGTGCAAAAAGCGATGGCAGGTTACATTTACCCCCAGGGCGTCGCAGATCATAAACACATGTCGAGAAAGGGAAAGAGAAGTAAGGTGAAGCAGTGGTATGGTGAAGGGATAGAAAAAAGGTCGATGATGAAGAAGTGGTGTATCAGGGTATCCTTCCCCAAGGCGCCGGTAAAAGCAGATACGTCGTATGTATGCAAAATGTATACCGAAGGTAGATGGGTATCATTGTATCTGCTTAGAAGCAGTTGAGGCCGCCCTTCTTCTTCTTTTTCTGGCTGTTGTTGAGGGCGGCCATGCGGGCTTCGAGATGTGCACGCTCGGCTTCCACGCGAAGACGTGCGTTGCGCTCTTCCTCAACAGCCTGGAGGGAGTGGCGCGCCATGCTGCGCTCCTTCTTCAAGGCGTCGAGCTCCTGCTCGAGACCAGCACACTTTTTCTGCCACTTGCCAACCTCGTCTTTGGTCTTTTGGCTGGACGTCTCAAGATCGGTGAGAGCGTCCTCCAAGGTGGCAGTGAGTTGTTTCTCGGCAAAGAGGTGCTTCTCAATCGTACGGATGCGCGCCTCCTGGTCTTCGACAAGTTGCGCATGCGCGATGTCTTTGCTCTGGTGGCGGGACGCTGGCGGCGAAGCACCGTTGGCCTGTGGCGGCGGGCTCCCAGGGAGCGGCGGCAGAGGAATAGCCGGTGGCGGTGAGGGCAACGAATTGTGGTTCGTGCTCGAACGAATGTTCGAATTGTTCGAGTTGGATCGTTGCAGGTTCTCGCGAGGGTCAATGGATTCACGGTGGGAAGCACGCTTCGCGTCCGTGAGTTGAGACTGTTCATGTTAGTGGGTCATTGAGAAGTATCAGGTGGAATCACGTACCTCGAGAAGCGCAATCTGAATGCGAGACTGCTCCACGTCCCGCTCGAGTTGCTCCTTGCGGTCGATCGCGTCTTGAAGTTCGCGGCTGCGCTCCGTCTGAAGAGCAGACAAGCGGTTGGTTGCCGCAGCATGCTGGTCGAAATTCGCATTGAGCTGTTCTTCCAACTCCTGCACAAGTCGCGAGCTCTTCCTCTCCTTGTCGCTGATCTGCTGATACTGCTTCAACACATCTGCGTTGATCGCCTCGAGCTCCTTGACCGTATCCTTCAGCTTTTCGTTTGACGCGGTGAGTTGGGAACCCTCGTTCTTCAGGCGCTCAACGGTTCCATGTGCTTCTGAGAGCTGGGTCCGATGCGACTCTAGCTCGGTGAGAGCTTCGTCCATTTTCCCACTCAATGACTTGCGCTCTTCGACCAGGCCCTGAATCTTTGAATGAATCTGTGACATATCTGTCTCGCCGTCCAAAGCAGAAGAAACTCCCAAGAGCAGGCTCTCCATATCAGCCTTGGCTTTCGTGAGGTCTGTCTGAAGCGTTTGGGATGAAGTTTGTTGAGCATTGAGCTCAGCGGCCAACTTGTCGAGCTCGTCGGCGTGCGATTGCTTGAGCGTCGCCAAGCTCTGCTCGTAGAACTCAACGGCAGCGTTGTGTTCCGCGATCTGCTTTTCCAAATTTGACACAAGAGATCTGTGCGTGCTCAGCTCCTTCTCCTTCAGCTCGGATGCCTCCGCATCTTGCTCGACCTGCTGGAGAATCTTGGCGTGTAGCTCCTCGAGTTCAGCAATGCGAGCTGCATGGCTGACGGCGGTGGCCTTGTGCTCATCTACCTGGGAATGGAGGGCTGCCACAAGCTCCGCGTGCTTCGACTTCTCTTGCTCAAGCTGAGACTCGATATTTGCGCCGTGGGACTGCTCGAGTTCGGCGATGCGAGCGGCGTGGTCGTCCTGAAGCTTCTTCAAAGCAGCCTGCACCTCTCGTGCACTTTCCATTTGATTTTGTTCGTACTTGGACTGCAACTGGGATAAATCACCTTGGAGCTTGGCGATTTGGGCTTGATGTGATCCTTCGCCATCAGCTGCCAGAGACTCTGCCATGGACTGGTCTTGAGGGGGGATTGACCGCGGGGAGAGGGGCTCGTCAAGAACGTTCGCATCGCCCACAGTTGCCTTGAGACTTGCGATCTGCGCCAGCAGCTCTTCCTCTCGCTGCGCATGCGAGAGCTTCAGCTCTTGCACCTGTTCCTCGCTGTGCTTGAGCTGCTCTTGCATTGTCGCAACGACTGAGATATCGAGAGGGGACGATGTCGTGAGACTGGACCGTTCCTTGGTGAGACCGTTGATCAGTCTGATCTTGTCCTCCATATCTTTCTTTACGGCTCCAATTTCGGCTTCCAACTCCTGAACTTTCTCAGTTCGCATGTGCAGCTCACTCATGATGGCGTTCAGGTTCAGCTCGAAGTTCTGAATAATGTCTGCCTCTTCCTCGAAGTTCTCCATGGCAATGTTGCGAAGCGAAGCGAACGCACGGGTGGAGCGGTCGTTTGCAATCACGTTCTGGCTGGACTTTCGACGGATAATCTGAGCGCTGGGAGAGCTTGGGCGCACCATTTGAGCCTTGGTCACCTCTGACTTGAGCTCTTCGACGTAGTCAAGTGTATCCTGGTGTTGTTCTTGGAGATCCGAGAATTCTTGGTTCAGCTCGACCATTCGTTCTTCCTTTTCAGCGTGCAGTCGTTTCAAATGCTCGAGCTCTCGGATAATGTCAGACTCGGTCTGCTCCGACTCAGATTTGGGTAGTGCGATTTCGGTCTCAGGGTTCTCAGCCGCTGCTTCCGTGTTCTCGTCTAGAGTGGATGTATTGCCAGATTCCGCTAAAGACAACTCCGCCGATAAAGTACGCGACGAGGACAGATGTCCATCCTCCGCCTTGAGACCCGCGTCTGCTAAAAAAGAGGTCGGTCGAGAAGAGTCCGCTAGCGAGGGTCTTCGGTGGCGAGCTTCCTCCACAACATCTTGTAGCGAAGCGATCGTGGCCAAGGCTTTCTGGTATTTGCTATCAAGCGTCTCATAGTCATGGACGAAGTCCTCGTGCTCCACGCGAAGGTCAAGCAGTTCACGCTGGACTGTTTCGAGCTTGTCCTCGACATATCGAGACTGCGCAGGGCTCTGCGGCGGCTCCGCTCCGTCTTCAGGTTTTAGATTGTTGGTGGAGATGGTTGGGAGGCGGCTGTCCCCGTGATCCTCGACGCTATCGACGGCAGGAGGGGCAGCACCACCGGTGGTGGGTCGCTCGATCTCATCCTCCTCTACAATGGCATCTGTGTTGCTGAGCTGGCGGCTGGCCGTCTGCGATGCGCGCTTCTCGATGAACGGGTCGCTAGGCATCTTTGAGTGACCGTTGACAAGCGCCTCTTCGCCCTTGACATCGGTTTGGCGGATGCTGTCTAGCTCGTACAGGAGATTGTCGAGCTTGCCGATACTTCGCTGTCGCTCCACTACGTGCTTCAATCGCTCGATTTCTCGGTGCATCAGGTCCACCTCTTGCTCGTTTTCGGCCAGACGTTCCTCCAAGGTAGAAATATAATCCTCGGCGCTAGTTTCGTTTTCGCGAGCCTTTTGCAGCTTCTCTCGCAACTCCGTGATGACGGTATCGTTCTTTTCGATACCAGACGCGCTGTTGTCGACTTGAGCCTCGAGTGACTTGACATACTCTTCGTTGCTTGCCTCGCGGTCAATGGCTTTCTGGATGCGAGACTGCAAAGATTGTGTCTGTTGTTCGAGGATCGAAATCCTAGCCTCTTTCTCAAGCAGTTCGCTTTCATTGCTGGCCAAAGACGACCGAGTGGTGGTGAGAGATGCTTCCAGACTCTGGATAGTGTGTTCGTATTCCATCACCACACTCTCAACCGTGTCACGGAATTCGTTTGACCGCTGCAATCGCTCCAGGGCAGCATCGCCAACAGTATCTCTTAGTAGGGGCGTCTCCTCTTCTCCGTGGTCACGGGCTTTGGTGAGCTCTGTGATCAGTTTCGCGTGGCGAGCGCTCAAGGCGTTGTAGTTCTCCTGAAGATCAAGTACGTGATTGTTGAGCTCAATCTCGCGTTCGTTTTGGCGCTCGCTCCACTCCTTGGGGTCGGTCTTCTTCCTGTCTGTTCGCTCGGAAAGGCGGATTTGGTCACGCAGGAACTGCACTTCGGCGCGTAACCGGTCGATGACTGCCTGCTTGTCGCTGTCGTCGTTTACTTGCTGTATCTGGGGTTTGATCTGAATGGCGCGAGCGCGCTGAGCGTACTGGACCGTGTTCAAGGTCTCGCTCAGATGAAACTGAGCGGGATTGACACAGGCGATCATGTACGTGATGGCATTGCCACCAAGTGAGTCTTGGAGCAGACGTGTCAACTTGGAATCCCGGTACGAGACG